CTTTTATTACAGCAACCAATCTAGTTTATAACCCTGGGGTAGAGTGTTCATGGTACCTTTTGCTTTCAGGCCCCCTTCGAAAAGTTGATCCTTTATGCTGAAACCGTGGGGAGACGCACAGGTCAGAGAATCAAGAAGTCTGAGTTCGATCCCTGGCTGTCTGTGTAGCCAGGCCAAGTCATCTGAACTCTCTCGGCCTTTTTATAGGCCTTGCTTGTACACCGGCGGTTGGCGATATCTGTCCGTGTAGGGGCTTCGATCAGGAACATCTCTTTACTCGGCTCTGGTGAGGCCACATCTGGAGTATTGTGTCCAGTTCTGGGGCCCCCATTACAGGAAGGATGTGGATGCGTTGGAGAGGGTCCAGCGGAGGGCGACCAAAATGGTTCGGGGGCTGGAGCATATGACCTATGAGGAGAGGCTGAGGAAGTGGAGTCTTTTTCGTTTGCGGAAGAGAAGAGTAAAGGGGGATTTGAGAGCAGCCTTCAGCTTCCTGAAGGGGGGTTCCAAAGAGGATGGAGAGAGGCTGTTCTCAGTGGTGACGGATGCAGAACAAGGAGCAATGGTCTCAAGTTGTGATGGGAGAGGTCCAGGTTGGATATTAGGAAAAACTATTTCACGAGGATGGTGGTGAAGCACTGGAATGGGTTCCCTAGGGAAGTAGTGGAGTCTCCATCCCTAGAGGTGTTTAAGTCTCGGCTTGACAAAGCCCTGGCCGGGTTGATTTAATTGGGATTGGTCTTGCCTTGGCCAGGGGGCTGGACTTGATGGCCTTCTAAGGCAGTGGTCCCCAGTGCGGTGCCCGCGGGTGCCATGGCGCCCACCAGGGCATTTAGGTGCATCCGCCTAGTGACCAGGGCCGGCCCAAACCATTCTTGCGCCCTGGGCGCCCAGCACATGCGTGGCCTCCACCCCGGGCACGCGGTGCTGCGCCCGGACGCCCAGCAGCCCCAAAAGGTTGGGGACCACTGTTCTAAGGTCTCTTCCAGATCTATGGTTCTATGATTCTACGAACATCCCGCGTTCATGCTGTCGACATGCCAACTCCTTCGACAGGCTGCGGGATTCAGTCCTGCATGTTGAAATGAACTCAGTGGCTGTTCAATGTTTTGATTTTCAGCGACCAACGTGTGTGTGTGTATGTGCGTGTATATAATATCTGGCTGTGATGTTGTGGTCGGGATTTTCACTCTCCGGTAAAACATCCCGTTCCCACAGCAACCATCACCATCTTCACATGTGTACATTAAGACCTAAAACTTCACAGCATAAACAGTCATTCAAAAGACTTGTTTCTACACACGGGGTCAACTTATATTTGTGGGGAGAAAACTCAACTCTCTGAGGACTGCCGATATTTTAAACTAACCATTGACGTCTTTCGGCAGAGGTGCGAGGCTTTGAATTCCCTGACTGGTGTGCGTTAATGAGCGTTGCTCGTTGAGAATGTTAACATCGGTTTTGGCCCGCGATTATGTAACGGCAGATCATTTGTAGTCTGCTGGCTGGTTTAAAACCCAGCTGGGAGTGCCTCCGAGGAGTTTGCAGCTTAAAGCACAGCTGGAGTTTCAAAAGAGTGATTCCATAGAGTACAAATCAGCATCGCTAGAGGACTACCTCCCATGGCAAAGCGCAGTCGCCTGCATCGAGAACACTTGCTTTCCCCTCCATTTGACTGACTGGATAAATGTCGGCACGTAACCATTAATTGCTCCCTTCAAACAATCGCCATAAAGCTGGCTTTTAAAAATTGCTGATGCTGCTGTACGCCTAGATCGGAAATAACCTCTTGCTAAAAACGTTGGCAACCCAAATCCGGGGGCTGGATTTGAGAAGCGCAGAAGAGCAGCAGAAATCTTTTCGTCTCTCTCTGGTGTGCTGAAAACCCTCAGGTGACATTTTCCTTGAGAAAACTGGCCCCCAAAACCTACCTCTGGGTTGAGCCTTCACACACCACGCTGTACCCCCGTGCAAGGGGTGGATTTGAACCCGTGGATTTAGGGAAAATGAGTTTTCATTGCGGTCTTTCAGCATGTAGATTTCGAATGTGTTTAACGTGAATCCCAGGGATACCTTCGGTTTGTGGTGTTGCATAAAAACGTTGTCTCCGGTAACGTTTGTGCATCTGTTGGGTGGAAGATCATCTGGCTTCTTCTCTTTGACTCTGACTAGGGATGTGAACGACTGGTTGACTGTCGGATAAGCAAATACTTACCGCAGTGTTTCCCAACTGGTGCTTCCCGCCCTCTCTTAAAGAGACAGAACCTCTTTGAGGTGGGACTTCCCCCTCTCCCCCCCCCAACTTTTTTTTTTCTCAATTGCATGGCGGGTCTTTCGGTTTTATTTTGCTTGACAAATTTTACCCTGGCAACCCTAGGGGTTTCCTTGAAATTCTTTCAAGCTGAAAAGGGTTCCATGGCCAGATAAAATTGGGAAACGCTGGCTTATCGGATAGTCAACACGCTAGTCAACTCGTCGCTCCTTCCCCTTGCTGCCTCTGGCGTTTAAAGCAGCAGCGCCACGTGGAGTCCAGGGTCTGCTGCTTTGAAACGCCGCCTGGAGCTTGACGCCGGTCTCCCTGCGGCATTTCAAAGAGCCAGTGCTCCGTGGGGGCCGGCCTTTGAAGTGTAGCAATAGCTTTGGAGGTGCCTTTATTGACTAATCGAATAAATGCAAATTGCACGACTATCCGCGTAGACACCTAATTGGAATGTACCATCCCTACCTCCGACACGTTCCGGACTAATGAGGCACTGGGACCCACAAGGTGGCATTGTATGACAACAGCTGGTACAGGTACAGCGGCCGGCTGTTCTTCAGCATTAATATTGAAGCCGTCCCGGTGGTACTAAGATTGATCGGCAGTGACGGAGACGTTCTGGGATTCTTCTGTCCTTGGGCTTTAGAGAAATGGCCATCTGTCCCTGTCCAGCGGTGTCTCCGTCTGCGCGAGTGACAAAGTAAAATGGCTTGGGAGTTCCGGGCCTCCTGTGTGTAACCCTCTGCGTCTCCCTGCCCCCTTCACAAACCAGCTGTGGAGCTGTTGGAAGGTCGTGGCCGGTAGTTTTCTCCGCTCCAGCAGGTCCTTTTGATTACCCATAGTCTCCAGGGCAAAGCATGGCTGTGCTCTGCGTAAAACCGGCCCTTGGCACGCCCCCCACAGCTGCTCCTGGCGTGTGTTGAGAACAGAGCAACAGCCGTCCGGGATGAAAACAGGACGTGTTCTTTTTATGTTGTCAGTCCCAGGGAGCTAATGGCTCTGGGAGAATAAGCTAGATTCGACTTTGGTTTGTGCATCAGCATTCGAAATAGTGTAAGTGTCGGGCCCGGGCCCAAATTCTGCCCTCGATGTCGACTGGGAAGCCCCATGGAAGCTAGTGACGTTAGTCTAAGACAGGGCTACTCAACACGAGGCCCGTCTGTTTGCAGCCCACGGTGCAGTTTGGGTGTACACTGCGGTTTGGGTTCATACGTGTTTTAGTTGTTGAATTCTTGGACTGTGGTGAAGTCGGAACAAGAAAGCAGTCAATATTACGGTCTTCTGTTGGTATGCGTTTTAGTCGTTAAATTCCTGGACTGTGGTGAAGTCGGAACAAGAAAGCAGTCAATGTAGCGGTATTCTGTCGGTATGCGTTTTAGTCATTAAATTCCTGGACTGTGGTGAAGTCGGAACAAGAAAGCAGTCAATATTACGGTCTTCTGTTGGTATGCGTTTTAGTCGTTAAATTCCTGGACTGTGGTGAAGTCGGAACAAGAAAGCAGTCAATATTACGGTCTTCTGTTGGTATGCGTTTTAGTCGTTAAATTCCTGGACTGTGGTGAAGTCGGAACAAGAAAGCAGTCAATATTACGGTCTTCTGTTGGTATGCGTTTTAGTCGTTAAATTCCTGGACTGTGGTGAAGTCGGAACAAGAAAGCAGTCAATATTACGGTCTTCTGTTGGTATGCGTTTTAGTCGTTAAATTCCTGGACTGTGGTGAAGTCGGAACAAGAAAGCAGTCAATATTACGGTCTTCTGTCGGTATGCGTTTTAGTCATTAAATTCCTGGACTGTGGTGAAGTCGGAACAAGAAAGCAGTCAATATTACGGTCTTCTGTCGGTATGCGTGTTAGTCGTTAAATTCCTGGACACTGGTGAAGTCGGAACAAGAAAGTAGTCAATATAACATAAGAATATAAGAATGGCCATACTGGGTCAGCCCAGTGCCCTGTCTGCTGATAGTGGCCAATGCCAGGTGTCCCAGAGGGAGTGAATTGAACAGGTAATGATCAAGCGATTTCTCTCCTGCCATCCATCTCCACCCTCTGACAAACAAAGGCGAGGGACACCATTCCTTACCCAGCCTGGCTAATAGCCATTGATGGACTTAACCTCCATGAATTTATCTAGTTCTCTTTTAAACCCTGTTATAGTCCTAGCCTTCACAACCTCCTCCGGCAAGGAGTTCCACAGATTGACGATGCGCTGTGTGAAGAAGAACTTCCTTTGATTTGTTTTAAACCTGCTGCCCAATTTAATTGAATTTAATTTAGTCGTTCAATTCCTGGACTGTCATTGCTCATTAAAAGTGCCGTCATATGGGTGGAAATGGGGTAGATATTGCATTTTATTAATATCAACAGAACTGACGTAAATGAGGCCTGCGTGTTTGGTAGTCTTGTCTTAAACTTTGTATTCATGCTCGTCGGTGTGAAAGAAGCTATTTGCATATATTTGCATATATATTTGCATGCATATGCAACCATACGTAAGTTGCAACGTTTCAGATCCCAGACGAGGGTTGGTGCGTTGGCTGTAAGAGAAACTCTCTTCTAAATGGAACCGGTTTGATTCGGATTCGCCGAGTGACGCTCTGCATGGGACCCCGTCGTGTTACGTTTGTGGTTGATTTCCGGAGTCAAGCCAGATCTCCAGGGCGGGTTAAAATGGCTGTGGTGTGTCTTTGGAAGGACTTAGAGGAGAGCGTGATTGCCTTTTGCTGTTTGTTCTCTTGCTGCAGGTGAAGTGGAAAGGCAAGGATTTGTTCGACTTGGTGTGCAGGACCCTCGGACTCCGGGAAACCTGGTTCTTTGGACTTCAGTACACCATCAAGGACACGGTGGCCTGGCTCAAAATGGACAAGAAGGTGGGAGGGGACGTTCCTTTTCAGGGGTGCGCGGGGAGGGTTGAGCTGTCCGTGGAAGTCGGGAGATGCCTCCGTGAGAATCCTGGAGGTGCACCAGGAGTAGAACAAGGCGTTGGCTAATCTAGAAGCCTATCAGTCAGGTGATCCAAGGGCAGGGTGATTGTCCTCCAGCCCGGTTAGCGTTCGGTTGTACCGTTAGTCCGTCCCTGAACCATCGCAAAGCCTTGGACTGGAGACCTGAGGGCCCACCCAAGCGATTGGGCACCAAATTGGCAAATGAAATTGAATGTTGATAAATGCAAAGTAATGCACGTTGGAAAACATAATCCCAACTCTACATACAACACGATGGGGACTAAGTTAGCTACAACTATTCAAGAAGAGATCTTGGCGTTATCGTGGATAGTTCTCTGAAGATGTCCACTCAGTGTGCAGCAGCAGTCAGAAAAGCAAATAGACTGCGAGGAATCATTAAAAAAGGGATAGAGAATAAGACAGAGTCCAACTCCGCGGAGTCACTGACTGGTTGTCCGACCCTGCAGGTCCTGGATCACGACGTTCCCACGGAGGAGCCGGTCACGTTTCACTTCCTGGCCAAATTTTACCCGGAGAATGCAGAGGAGGAGCTGGTTCAGGAGATCACACAGCACTTGTTCTTCCTGCAGGTATGGGCCTTCCCCTTGCACGTGGGGCTAAAAAAATGGCAAAAAGACGGTTGGTGGAACCCCCGCTGGGGCTGCCTCCTCCCCCCACTTCTTCAGGGAAGCGATATCGGGCATGGGTGGGGACTCAGCTGTCCTTGCTACTCGTGGCTTCTGGTGGGTTTGAAATGGGATGTGGCGGTACACACTGCAGAGGTCTCTCCTGTCTCCTGGCGGGAATAGGATGTGGGGCGGAGTCTGTCTGCATCGGTCAGAATTGTTCCCCGAGCAGGGAAAATATTTTCCTGGCTGATTGGCGGCCCGCGTTACAACTGCTGCCGCCGCGTAGCTTTGTTTAGCGGCGTTTTTTTCTCCGGTGATGCTTTGCTCAGGTAAAGAAGCAGATTTTAGATGAGAAGATCTACTGTCCTCCGGAGGCGTCTGTCCTGCTGGCCTCATACGCCGTGCAAGCCAAGGTAGGTACAGAAGCATGATGGGAAATCTCCCATAAGCCCCCAGGGGGCCGAGCGGTTTAGCATTGTTTCCTCGTGCGTTCGGAAGTGCCATTGCACTTTTTAGCTCTTTCTCTCCCGATGGACTGCCGCCGGGGATTATACATCCCCTCCAAGCCTTGCTCCTGCCCATTTTACGTTAATATTGGTGCAAAATTGTTGGGATGAGGGAAATAACTTGAATAAGGTGTTTTTCTCTCCCCTCTTCCTTTCTCTTAGGCATCAGATCCTGGGTCCTCTAATATAGCTGGCCTAGCCAGATCAAACAAAACATGCAGCGCACAGCCAACTTGTGGAACTCCTTGCCAGAGGATGTGGTGATGACCAGGACTTGAACAGGGTTAAAAAAAGAGCTAGATAGATTCGTGGTGGATTTAGCCAGGATGGGTAGGAATGGTGTCCTTAGCCTCTGTTTGTCTTGAAATGGGTGACAGGAGAGGGATCATGTGACAATCTACCATCACTGGGTTGCCTTCTCTTTGCAGAATAAGAACTTAGCCCATACCAAACTCGATTGTGCTGGAGACCTCTGGGTCTTGTGGGTTTTATTGGCTTTAGAAATAAAGCCTCATTTCTGTTTTTAACGGTGTTCTCATTTTCCTTAGGGCTGTTTTCAGCCAGAGAAATGGGTCTTTTAAAATATTTATTGGCTAAGGAGCGCTGTACTGAATATTCATGCCGAACCCTCGTATTCAAGAGCACGCGCGAACGTTTGTTTTGCTGTCTCGCCTTCCCTGTTTCATGCACAATGTACACATAGGCCGTGTCTATATTTTTAGCTTCTTTTGACATAATTAATGTTATTTGGGGTGGGCGTAACCTCCATGAATCTGTCTAGCTCTTTTTTTAATCTTAGTCTGCACAACATCCTCTGGCAAGGAGTTCCACAGGTTGACTGTGCACTGCGAAAAGAAACGACATTAATAACTCCCCTCCCCCGAAGTGACAATGCCCGATTAGCCACTCTGGCCAGCGCTTTTATTGCGTAGCCGTCCTTACAGCGTCGGTCGTTCAAGTGGCAAGAAAGTAAGCCAGAAGCCGAGAGAGGGCTGGGAAGCCGAGAGGTGGCTGATGGAACATTTTTAACGTTCCTAAAATTCCCAGCTCTTCGTTGCGCGTTCTCACAGCGCTTAGTAGCAGGCGGTGCCACTAGGCACCATGGGATGCCTACCCATAGAGTGTGTCTAGACTACAGAGTTTTGTCGACAAAAGTCCACTTTTGTCGACAAAACTATACCTGTGTTTACACTGCCGCTGAGTTCTGTCAACGTAACGGCGACCGAACTCGGCAGTTTTGTTGACGATGGTAAACCTCATTCTATGAGGAATAACACCTTTTGTCGACAGAGTTCTGTGGACAGAAGGCGTTATTTCATCTACACTGTCCTTTGCGTCTACACTGTCATGTCGACAACGCGGCTTGCTTTGTCGACAGAACTGGATGTAGTCTAGATGCTCTTTGTTGACAGAAGCTTTGTCGACAGTATGTGTTGACAAAAGCCTGTAGTCTAGACGTACCCATAGTGCTTTGCTCTTTCTGTCACCAGGGACGCTAGCACCGTGGCCAGGAAATGTCGACAGTGGGCGGCAGAACTGATTTGAGGAGTTTTGCGTGTTGACGGCCCTTCCATCCCCAAACCTTTCCCTGTGCAGACCAAGGCTCAAAAAGGCCTTTCCTAATGCGCCTTTCACAGCCAACAGATGTGCGTTTTCATTGGATTTCACCGATTGATAAGTGCACGTTTGTGTGGCAGTTTTACCTTCATAATAACAAAGAACCCATCAGAGAATTTTTTTAAAAGTCTACTCAACCTGGGAATTACTGTAGATTTCTCCCTCCAGAGTTGTTTTCAAATCGCCGCCGTTTCCAAATGTTGGCGTAGCCTTCAGTTTTCAAGAGCAAGCGTTAGGACGGAGTCTATTGAAAAATCTAGCCCCGCAGAAAACATCCGAGAGATTTTCCTGTTTCTTTTCCACATGTCTTCTTGTTTCTCCGCCCGTTCTGCAACGTCACAAGAGGCTGGATTCTAGCCCCGGCGAGAGTTTTTTCCTCTTTCTGTTTTAATTTTTCTTTTTTTGCCCCAATGAATAATGTATTTCGTTGCTATCCAGAATATTAATGCACACAGATTTATACGGCACAGTATAAACCCCCGTGTCTGAGTGATATAACGACAAGCTCAAAGTAGAAACACGATCATAGAATCGGAGAACACTAGAACTGGAAGGGACCTCGAGAGGTCATCGAGTCCAGTCCCCTGCCCTCATGGCAGGACCCAGTACTGTCTTCAGTGATCCTCAGCTGTGGCCCATATGGCTCCCCACGGGCCACGCCCTACCTCTAGGGGGCCACATGGAAAAAACGGAACATTAGGTAAATTATGTATCTTTTTTTCCAAGTAACAGCAGCTGTGAGGGGGGCCACAGAGGTAAACGAGGCTCAGAAGGAGGCTATGAGCAAAAAAAGGTTGAGACGCACTGGTCTAGACCATCCCTGATAGATCTCTATCCAACCTGCTCTTAAATATATCCAGAGATGGAGATTCCACAACCTCCCTAGGCAATTTATATCCGAATATAATCTATACGAATAGGCAGGGCTCGACAAACTATACAATCTACTCGCCCGTGGCGAGTAGATTTCAGCCGCGCGCCCCGTTCATTCGCGGCGCGCGCATGCGCAATGCGGCTCTTGCGCATGCGCAGTACGGGGCTGGCAAGTGGTTTTCGCCGCCGTTTGTCAAGCCCCGCGAATAGGCAACAAATACTAATTATATAGTGCGTTTAACAGAACCCGAATCGCTGTGCCAGTTTTTGAGTTAGACTGCAGTGGAAACGTGTTTGCCAAAGCACTTGAACTAATATCCCTTGCGATCGTTTGGCCATTAGTGGATTGTCATTGTTGAGTAATTAATGTTTTCCAGTGTTTTTCCCGGCACGCATACTTCTTTGAGACGGGGATTTTCTTGACCATATTCAAATCACACGTTCCTTATGTAGCCGTCGGCCCCCCAGGATAGATCGCAGCCCGAAACGATCGCATCCATCCTCGTTATCATTTCTTTCCCATCCAGAAATCATTTTTCTCCCTGTCGGAAGTTGAACGTTGTTCCCTTCCAAATCCTGCGTTTTTATACCTGTTCCCCCTGTTGACGGGTGTTGAGTAATTCGATCTATGCAGCCTGTTCTGAGAAGCGCCGGGTTGCCTGGGGCGCCGCATCTCTCAGGATCAATCCAGCGGCCTCTCGATGGTATTAATTTATCTCCGAGTCCGTTGTGGCGTATTGCAGACTTCCTTTGCATCTGGGTTGGCGCGAAATCAATAGCACTCTCTGTAATCCCCACTCGTCTGAGCGTTGACCGTTTTGCCGCTCCGAGGTTGTGTGCCGAGATTGATTCTGGTGTTTGTGAGTGTTTGGCGGGGCCGCTCGGGCATTAAATGGAGACTGATTTGGGATGTCTCTTGAGTGCCTATTGTTACGGCGCTTTATTATTTGCCTGCCTTGTCGGGATCGCCACTGTTTGTTCCTTCCCAGCAACGTTCCCCCCGGAGAACGAGAGACAAAGGGCATTTTCAGCGTGAAATGATTGACTCGGGGAAACGGCGCCCGGTCTTCCTAATAGGATGATGCCGTAGTGTGACTCGGGCCATGAGAGGTGAATTAAAACCAACGCATTTCCCTCACGCTTCCCTTGTAAATCATTCCCTTGTCAGTCGAGCGGTGCGTTATGGGCCCTGTGCCGCGTTTCATGCTCACCGCAGAGGGTGCATTTTCGCCGATGCTCTTTAATCGAGGCACTAAGCCTGGGGGAGAGGTAGATACGCTGGAGGGCAGGGATCGGGTCCAGAGTGACCTAGATACATTGGAGGATTGGGCCAAAAGAAATCGGATGAGGTTCAACAAGGACAAGTGCAGAGTCCTGCCCTTGGGACGGAAGAATCCCAAGTTTTGTTACAGGCTGGGGACCGACTGGCTAAGCAGCAGTTTGGCAGAAAAGGACGTGGGGGTTACAGTGGATGAGAAGCTGGATGTGAGTCAACAGCGTGCCCTTGTAGCTGAGAAGGCTAATGGCATATTAGGTGCATTAGGAGGAGCATTGCCAGCAGATCTAGAGAAGTGATTTTTCCCCTTTATTCGGCTCTGGTGCGGCCACATCTAGAGTACTGAGTCCAGTTATGGGCCACTCCACTACAAAAAGGATGTGGACGCATTGGAGAGGATCCAGTGGAAAGCAACCAAAATGATTAGGGGGCTGGGAGATATTTGGGCGTATTTAGTCTGCAGAAGAGAAGAGTGAGGGGGGATTTGAGAGCAGCCTTCAACTTCCTGAAGGGGGGGTTCCAAAGAGGATGGAGAGAGGCAGTTCTCGGGGTGGCAGATGGCAGAACAAGGAGCAATGGGCTCAAGTTGCGGTGGGGGAGGTCTAGGTTGGATATCAGGAAAAAACAATTTCCCGAGGCGGGCGGTGAAGCGCTGGGATGGGTTCCCTAGGGAGGTGGTGGAATCCCCACCCCTAGAGGATTTTAAATCCCAGCTTGACAAAGTCCTGGCTTGGTTGATTGGTCCTGCCTTGGGCAGGGGGCTGGACTTGATGACCTCCTGAGGTCTCTTCCAGCCCGACGATTCTATGATTTCTGAAGCGTTGGGCCAATTTCGTTGTACAAGACACTTGACGTGATTTAGAATCTCGCCCTAAGAATGACCGGGCACGCTTTTCAAAGGCGAATAGTATTTTGTGAGCCACGGTGTGGAAGAGAACTTTTGGCGGGGGGGGACAGATTCCTGTCTGAGATATGTCCCCTACTGGTCGGGTGAAGTCCCTCTTTAAAAACTGTCCCGAATGTTAAACGTATGAAATAGGACATGGAGACGTGACCGAAAGCAGGGAACCCGCTGCATCGGATGAGTTGCTGGTCTTGGCCCACACTACAGAATCATACAATACTAGGACTGGAAGGGACCTCGAGAGGTCATCGAGTCCAGTCCCCTTTCCTCATGGCAGGACCAAATACTGTCTAGACCATCCCTGATAGACATTTATCTAACCTACTCTTCAATATCTCCAGAGATGGAAAATCCACAACCTCCCTGGGCAATTTATTCCAGTGTTTCACCACCCTGACAGTTAGGAACTTTTTCCTAATGTCCAACCTCAACCTCCCTTGCTGCAGTTTAAGCCCATTGCTTCTTGTTCTGTCCTCAGAGGCCAAGATGAACAAGTTTTCTCTCTCCTTCTCATGACACCCTTTTCGATACCTGAAAACGGCTCTCATGTCCCCCCTCAATCTTCTCTTTTCTAAACTAAACAAACCCGATTCTTTCAGCCTTCCTTCATAGCTCATGTTCTCTCAACCTTTAATCATTCTTGTTGCTCTTCTCTGGATCCTCTCTAATTTCTCCACATCTTTCTTGAAATGCGGTGCCCAGAACTGAACACAATACTCACGGGTACAACTGGACCACACTGACCAATGCCTGCTCTTCTCCCTCCCCGTGTTTATTGTAAGGACGGGGGATACTGAGATGAAATGTAAGGGTATGTCTAGACTACAGGCTTTTATCGACAGAGGCTATGTCGACGAAACTACAGCCAGTTCTGTCGACAAAGCAAGCTGCTTTGTCAACATGACAGTGTAGACGCAAAGGACAGTGTAGATGCAATAACGCCTTCTGTCGACAGAACTCTGTCAACAAAAGGTGTTATTCCTCGCAGAATGAGGTTTACAGCCATCGACAAAACTGCCGAGTCCTGTCGACGTTATGTCGACAGAACTCGGTGGTAGTGTAGACGCAGCTATAGTTTTGTTGACAAAAGTCCACTTTTGTCGACAAAACCCTGTAGTCTAGACAGACCCTAAGACTGTAAACGGTTCTGAGCTCCTCCTCAGCTGAAGTCTGTGTAGGTTGCCGTCTGACCCCTGCAGTGTTTTGCTTTTCTTTTCAGTACGGGGACTATGACCCCAGCGTTCATCAACGGGGCTTCTTGGCGCAAGAGGAGTTGCTTCCGAAGCGGGTAAGGCATTCAGCCGGGACCGACGCTCTGTGGCTGGCATAGCGATTCCAGCGGACCACGGTCACGCTGAACGAGGAGCCCTTAATTAGTATCTAGGTTGTTGTCGTGGAGATGGAAGGGAAGGTTTTCTGCCTGCTTCCTTTGGCCGGAATAGCCGCTGTATTTGCAAGGCTTGTGGGCTCGCTGTGCTCCGAAGGGCTGACTGCGAGCTGGTTCCAGGTGTGGGCTTAGCTTGGTTTTTCTTCTCACAACCTGTGGAACTCCTCGCCAGAGGATGTTGGGAAGGCCAGGACTTGAACAGGCTTCAAAAAATAGCTAGATAAACTCATGGAGGTTAGGTCCAAAATACTTCTTAGCCAGGATGGGTGGGAACGGTGCCCCTAGCCTCTGTTTGTCTGGAAATGGGCGGCAGGGGAGGAATTACGGGATGATTCTGTTCACTCCCTCTGGGGGACCTGGTATTGGCCGCTGTCGGCAGACAGGACGCTGGGTTAGATGGCCCTTTGGTCTGACCCAGCCTGGCCATTCTGATGTTAGTTAGAAGTGGAGAGCAGCGTGCGGATCGGGAGTGGGAGGGATCTGAGGGGGAAAGAAGGGCGTTTGGAGTAGGAGGTCCTTGGGTCTCGCTCATTGATAAGGTGATGAGACGAAGCCCCGAGGCAGGCCCGAGCGAGCTGAAGCTTTCTCATCCTGCCCCGCGCAGGTCATCAACCTGTACCAGATGACTCCCGAGATGTGGGAGGAAAGGATAACAGCCTGGTACGCGGAGCATCGAGGCCGGGCCAGGTGAGGAAATGTCTCCGTGTTTGGTTAGTCTCTGAGAGACTGCAGCACTATTTGCTGTTTTTAAATTTCTCCAGTTACAACCCAAGCCAGCTCCCGCTCTGAACCTCTCCGGCTCCGAAGTTAGCCACCTCCCCCACTCTCCGGGAACCTTGAGACCTCCCCATAACTCGTGGGGCCAGGCCCCGCTCATGACAACACCCTGATCCTTCAGAAGTAAACAGCCGCTAACCTGCAATGGACGATTGTTAAAATCCCCGGGTGGTGAAATTGACCAAAAGAGCCAGTGGCTTTGGTACACCCCATGGAGCTAGACCCTGGCTACAGAAGAGCCACTTGCGTTACAAATACCGTATGGTGGGTGGCGGGAGGGGGAGGACGTAGGAGCAGTGCTGTCTTGGGTCCCTAAAAGTCAGTTTTGCCGGGTAACTTCCCAGGTGTGCCCGCGCCGTGCTTACAACGCAGAACGGGTCACCCCAGTGTTTCGCGCCAGGTGGCTTTCTCAGCTGGGACACTTTCTGCCACTGTCAGCAGCCGGGTGCACTTATAGCTCTGGCAGCTACCTTCACAGCAGTAGCGCTAGCCCCCTCCCCCACCCCCGCTTCCTCCCCGAATCAGCTGTAAGCACCATTGGATTGGCGGTACGAGAACGTGGAGGAGCGTAGGGATCCGGTAGGAAAACGTGTCTCTCGGCGACGATGATTCCTCGGGACATGAACTAGGATGGGCGGTAGCCCTCTCCCGCCTCTTTGGGGGCACGAGGAACCGCCCACGCAGTCGGCGGACGGGATTGGGGTAGAGGCGGGGCAAGGCGGGAAACGTCGCGACGCCGACAGGGAATCTTTCTCCTTCCTGCTGGGAACCAGACTTGATCTTTGCCTGCGGGATGTGCCCACCAGGCTAAGAAGGAGTCCCCCTTTCCTGTCCATCACCGGGGCCTGTCTTTTCCCGCCAGAGATGAAGCGGAAATGGAATACCTGAAGATCGCGCAGGACTTGGAGATGTACGGCGTCAATTACTTCGCCATTCGGGTGAGTCCAGGGCTCGCGTCCGGTTCTCGGCGCATCTTGAGTCCACGGAGGCGGTGGGGGGCTGGTTTTAGCTTAGCAATGGGCCACTCCCTTTTTCATCGCAGATCGGCCTCACCGCGCCGGTCCCCCGGGATCGAGCGACGCTGCTAAGCGTGCTTGCATCCCTAGTATTTGCGCTGGGCTGTAGCATTGGTGACCCCCCTGGTCTGCAGACGGCTGTGTGGCACTCAGGGTCAGATCCACCAGCGGGCGGTGGGGAGGGGGGTTGGATCAGCTGCTGCCTAAAACCTTCCCCCGAGAAGGCGCGAATGAGTCACCGCTGGCCCCGGAAGCTGGATCCCTCAGGGAGCGTTGAGCCAGGCGGGATGAAGCTAGTGGAACGGAGCCGCGTCGCTCAGCTGCTCCCCGAGTTGAATGCCAATCACCGTGCCTCAAACGGAGCCTGCACGGTTCTTCCCTCCTGTAGAATAAGAAAGGCACGGAACTGCTCCTCGGAGTCGACGCCCTGGGCCTCCACATCTACGACCCAGAAAACCGGCTCAGCCCCAAAATCTCCTTTCCGTGGAACGAGATCCGGAACATCTCCTACAGCGACAAGGAGGTAGGGTGCGCTGGCCCGCGTCCGGGTGCTGAGCACCGGTTTCACTCCCACTCGCTCCGGGACACGCAGCGGAGCCTGCCTCGGCCTTTCCGTGCGTTCCCCGGCTTTTGTGCGTTTTTTGCGCGCATGAGCCCGAACCCCAGAGCTAGTTTTGAATTTGTTTTTCGAGCATTTTCCAAACCGTTGACTCCTGCATGCAGATGTGGTCGCTTCCTCTCCGAAAAGATCTTTTGGCATTGGAAAAGGTTCAGAAAAGGGCAACAAAAATGATTCGGGGTTTGGAATGGGGCCTGTATGAAGAAAGATTAAAAAGACTTGGACCTTTCCGCTTAGAAAAGAGGAGACTAAGGGGGGGATAGGATAGAGGTCTATAAAATCACGAGAGGTGTGGAAAAAGTTAATAAAAGTTATTTACTTATTCCCACAATGTAAGAACTAGGGGTCACCAAATGAAATCGATGCAATTTAAAACAAACAGAAGGAAGTTTTTCTTCACGCAGCGCACCGTTAACCTGTGGAACTCCTTGCCAGAGGATGTTGTGAAGACTAGGACTTGAATAGGGTTCAAAAAAGAGCTACATAGATTCATGGAGGTTAGGTCCATCGATAGCTATTATCCAGGATGAGTAGGAATGGAGTTCGTCGTTTCTGTTTGTCTGGTAATGGGTGATGGGGAGGGATCACGTGCGGATTCCCTGTTGTGTTCCCTCCCTCTGGGGCACCTGGCATTGGTCACTGTGGGCAGACAGGACACTGGGCTGGCTGGACGATTGGTCTGACCCAGTCTGGCCGTTCTTATGTTCGAATATATTAAAAGGAAAAATAAATTCCCCTCGTGTTCAGCCCAGAGGAGAATCTTCTCTTCCCAAGAATACATCCCGACCTCATGAATATAATGAAACGTATTCCTGGTACGAAAAGCAGTTGGCTCTCGCTTTTGCATTACATTGCTCTGAACCCGCCCAAAGCTTAGTGCAGCCGGCTGAATCTGTGGTCAGGTGATGTAGGCCCAACACCCGTGGTCGCTTTGAACTTCGATTTTTTTTCAGGGACTAGAAATGGCTTCCTGCCATTAGAATAAGGAGCTATTAGAATAAGGAGTTCAAATTGACAATTGGGAGTGAAACTGACCAATTCCCTGTCCAGTCTAAGGAAACTAGCTACTCAGAGAGTCATTAGTAATGGCTTTCAGTCCTGCTGGAAGGGCCTAACGAGCAGGGTTCTGCAGGGGTCTGTTTTGGGACCGGTTCTGTTCAATATCTTCATCTACGATTTAGATATCGGCATAGAGAGGACGCTTATAAAGTTTGCAGATGATCCCAAGCTGGAAGGGGTTGCTAGTAAGGTGGTGTGGCTGGTTCCCGCGTGGCCTAGGGGATAGGGTGCTCGCCTGGGGAGGAGAAGATCATGGGTTCAAGTCCCGCCTGGTCCGGTCGGGACGGGAGGGCCGAAACTGGTCGGCCTCGGGGCAGGAGGGATAATTCATACTGATCTGGAGAAATGGTCGGAGGTCAACAGGATGAAGTTTAATCAGGACAAATGCAAAGTGCTCCACTTAAGAAGGAACAATCCGTTTCACACACACAGAACGGGAAGCGACTTTTAGGAAGGAGTATGGCAGAAAGGGATCTAGGGGTCAGAGCGGACCACAAGCTAAATATGAGTCAACAGTGTGACACTGTTGCAAAAAAAGCCAACATGATTCTAGGATGCATTCACAGGAGTGTTGTGAGCAAGACACGAGACGTCATTCTTCCGCTCTTCTCTGTGCTGATTAGGCCTCAATTGGAGTATTGTGTCGCAGACATTTTTATTTAAATGCCGCGGGGGATATTTAAATCCCCCGCGGATTTCCCTACGACGACTGGTGAAATTTACATTCCCCTTCCGGAAAAGGGGCCAGTGTAGACGTAGCCTGAGTGAAAACTGGTGCAACAAATTAAGCTACTCAATTCCTTAAATGGGCATTACAAGGAAGAGGGAGAAAAATTGCTCTCCTTGGCCTCTGGGGACAGGACAAGAGGCAGGGGACTTAAATTGCAGCCAGGGAGGTTTAGGTTGGACATTAGGAAAAAGTTCCTACCTGTCAGGATGGTTAAACACTGGAATAAATTGCCCAGGGAGTTTGTAGAGTCTCCATCACTGGAGAAATTTAAGAGCAGGTTGGACAGACATCTATTGGAGATGATCTAGACGGTGCTTGGTTCTGCCGTGAGGGCAGGGGACTGGTCTTCATGACCTTTCGAGGTCCCTTCTATCATGTCAGTAATCCTCACGCGGCGATGACCACAGATGGACCTTAATTACGAGAAGCAGGCTTCCTAGCAGTATATGAGAGCTGTCTGGACACAGCGGAGGTGTCTCATTGATTGTAATAATGATCGACTGTAGATAGAATGGCCTTCCACTTTTCAGCCCAACCCTCTGGCGAATAACAGAGGGGTGGGGTTAAAATTCAAAAAGATCCATGCTCACCGGCCTATGCGAAAGACTTGGATTGTGTTGTTTTGTCATATCACCCCGGGAGGAGGACATAAGATCTGTAACGTCGGGGTTGAATTAGCCAAAGTCCTGGAGAATAGACGGCATGGGAGATAGAGACTAGAACTGTGGATGAGCTATAGCTAGGCTTGGAAGGGTTCGATTTTTACACCAGTTTACACACAAACCCGTGAACAATTTCGGTGATTGGTCGCCATTTACAGCTCGACGCCCGTTTACACACAAACCCGTGAACAGTTTTGGTGATTGGTCGCCATTTACAGCTCGACAAAGTCAGAAATCGGCTGCTGGAGCTCGTCGGAGTTTTCTGTAAGGACGTGTATTTGGCGTATTTTTTTCCCATGCACGCTTGACGCTTTGTGTGCTAGCGATCAGAAAGCGTAAGATTCATCGATCTCGGAGATTAAATTGTCCACTCCCCCCACCGCCCCATTGTCTGAAACACCGCGGTTCCTGCGGCTGGGAGATTTTAAATCAATACATGTGGGGAAAGGCTTAAAAATCAACGTCAATATTATCCATCAAAATTATTCATACAAAAAAAAAGAAACCCGGTTCTGCCAAGCCTCAATAGAATTATTCGATTCCATCTCCGCAGGCTTTAATGGAGCCCCAACCCCCAGGGCAGCTGAAACTAGTTTTTCTACCCTGATGGGTCACGATTGTTTTTCTCCTCCTTGTTCCTAGCCCCCTATGTCCTGTGGGTCGGACCTCCATCCAAGACCTGTGAATGGGGGATCAGACGTCTCTTGCTTAGCCAGGGCGCTTTGATTCTTTCCGCTGTCCGGTGCTGTGCCAGTGCCCCCGGCCGGTCACCACGTCCTTTCTCTTTCCTTGCAGTTCACGATTAAACCCCTGGACAAAAAGATCGACGTCTTTAAATTCAATTCGTCAAAGCTGCGGGTGAACAAGCTGGTGAGTTTTCCAGCACGGTGTTAGCCTTGCCAGCCGCCACGGCTCTCGAGGATGGCTCCGGGGGCCGTATTTCCAACATCTGGGCTCCTGTGGGTGGATGGCAGGTGTGATACTGCGTGCTGCATGCGGTCACGAAGTTATCGTCTCTGGGGGAGAGGGTGGATCTGCGCTAATTTCTCCCCTTCACTTTCATTTCTCCCCTTTTTTCGAGCCGTCTGGTGATGTCTGCCCTGGAAAAAAAATGTTCTTAGCTCCCTTGTTCCCCAAATCTTTTGCTTCCCCTGGGCTCCCTTGTGCTGATCTGCTACCGTGTCTCCCAGAAACCACTAACCGATCACGATTAATCTCGTGAACCATGCCAAGGGATTCTCTGAAGATGTTTCTTAGGCCAGAGGGAAAACGTCACTCACTGGACACGCCGGTGTCTGTGCCTTCGCCGTTGGGCCTGGCCTACTGCCGTAGCATTAACGACTTGTCTGTCCCGATTTCTCCCAGCACAAGTGAAGTCCGCATCATGCCCTCCGAGGGTCCTGTTTTCCTCTGTCCAAACTGTTTTCTGCTCTTCTTCCATCACGATCAGTTTCACTTCCTCCTTTTCCACCGCCCCTAAGTGAGAGGGTGAGGGATGTCCAGTCCCTGGAGTGCATCGTTGAACTGGTTAAAGGGGAGGCGAGGGAGCCGCTCCAGTCCCCACCCCCCGGCCGCAGACAGGGGCGTCTCCGGGCGGGACAAGGAGGAGGGAGAAAAATTCTTCTCCTTGACGTCTAGTGATTGGACAAGAAGCAAGGGGCTGAAACTGCAGCGAGGGAGGTTGAGGCTGGACATTAGGAAAAACTTCCTACCTGTCCGGGTGGCGAGAGACTGGAATAAATTGCCCAGGGATGTTGTGGAATCTCCGTCACTGGAGATATCAAAGAGCAGGTTGGATAGACGTCGACCAGGGATGATCTAGAGCGTAGGTTCCCAAACTGGGGCACGCCCCCTTGGGGGGGGGGCATGAGGAAATTCCGGGGGGGGGCGCGAGGTGACCCAGACCCCCTGTCAATCCTTCCCCCCCTCCCAAGAAAGAGCCCAGTCTGTGCAGATCAGGTTGGCTGGGGAGGGGGAGGATGGAGCATCCCGAGCAGACTTCAAATGGCCGCCTTAAAAGGGCAATGCCTGCTCTGTTCTTAAAAGGGCAATTTTGTAAATTTTTTTTTTTTTTTTTGTTCAACAAGTTTTGCTGCTATTTGGGGGAAGGGCCTGAGGGTTTTTCAAAAATCAAAAAGCCAAAAAGTTTGGGAACCACTGCTCTCCTGCCATTGTGATAAGGGACTAAGGATGCTGGGTCCTGCCGTGAGGGCAGCAGACTGGACCTGATGCCCTCTCAAGGTCCCTTCCAGTTCTACGGTTCGATGATTCGTTCTGTAACCCTCCTCCGATGGTGCTTTTGGACCCTGGAGGGGGCCTTGCGCTCCCGCACCTAAGGAACTGCCATGGGATGTAGCCCGCTCTGAGGGTAACGCACTCGACCTTCCAGTGCCTCAGTTTCCACATCAGTAGAATGGCAACGAATCAGTCACCCCTATAGGCATGTGTTCATTCCTTCCCTCTCCTCTTTCTCCGGAGCAGATTCTCCAGCTGTGCATCGGTAACCACGATCTGTTCATGCGGCGGAGGAAGGCTGACTCCTTGGAGGTGCAGCAGATGAAAGCCCAGGCCCGGGAGGAGAAGGCCAGAAAGCAGGTGAGAGCCTCCTTGCTATAAACATCAGTCTGCGTCCGACCCCATCAGAAATCGCGCCCTGCGGTCCCCGAGCCTGCATGCTCATTCGGTCCTGGCCTCTCTCCGCCCCAGGGCAGGCGGCAGGAACAGCCCGTCGCTTGTAGCTAATAAGCGTCCGTCAACCCATTGGACTGTACGTATCACTGCTTTCTGTTCGGAGACCTTTTCCGCTCCCTGGACCCCACCCGGTGGATCTGCGAACCGCTGCTCGGAACAGCAAGGAGGAGGGAGAAAAATTCTTCTCCTCGGCATTGTGGGGGCCGGGCGGGAGCCTTGTCTCCAGTTTTGAAGATGATGCGCCACTAAGAGGCTTCAGGGTGGGAGGGGGAATAAGTTTTGATGGGCACGTTTTGATACGCGAAGATTTTGGTAAGTGGCTGAGGGCTGCACTTTTCTATGGAGCAGGTGCGGGGTCTGGTTCCAAGGTTGGGTGCACCAGGGTGCTGGGGTGCAGGAGAGGTTGTGGGGTGTGAGTGGGAGTTTGGGTGAAGGAGGGGGTTGGGATCTGGGTACGGGTCCGGGAGGGAGTTTGGGTGTAGGAGAGGGTGTGGGGTGTGAGCAGGAGTTTGGGTGAAGGAGGGGGTTGGGATCTGGGTCCGGATCCGGGAGGGAGTTTGGGTGTAGGAGGGAGTGTGGGGTGTGAGCAGGAGTTTGGGTGAAGGAGGGGGTTGGGATCTGGGCCCGGGTCTGGGAGGGAGTTTGGGTGTAGGAGGGAGTGTGGGGTGTGAGCGGGAGTTTGGGTGAAGGAGGGAGTTGGGATCTGGGTCCGGGTCTGGGAGGGAGTTTGGGTGAAGGAGGGGGTTGGGATCTGGGTCCGGGTCCGGGAGGGAGTTTGGGTGTAGGAGGGAGTGTGGGGTGTGAGCGGGAGTTTGGGTGAAGGAGGGAGTTGGGATCTGGGTCCGGGTCTGGGAGGGAGTTTGGGTGAAGGAGGGGGTTGGGATCTGGGTCCGGGTCCGGGAGGGAGTTTGGGTGTAGGAGGGAGTGTGGGGTGTGAGCGGGAGTTTGGGTGAAGGAGGGAGTTGGGATCTGGGTCCGGGTCTGGGAGGGAGTTTGGGTGAAGGAGGGGGTTGGGATCTGGGTCCGGGTCCGGGAGGGAGTTTGGGTGTAGGAGGGAGTGTGGGGTGTGAGCGGGAGTTTGGGTGAAGGAGGGAGTTGGGATCTGGGTCCGGGTCTGGGAGGGAGTTTGGGTGAAGGAGGGGGTTGGGATCTGGGTCCGGGTCCGGGAGGGAGTTTGGGTGTAGGAGGGAGTGTGGGGTGTGAGCGGGAGGGCTGTATCTTGCCCGCCCCCTGCTTCAGGGGTTAATGGGGCAGGGCTTGGAATTTGATGGGCTCCTGAAGCCAGAACGGAGACGCGCTGGGTAGGGGCCCAGGAACTTGGAGGACCCCCTGGCTCTGGAGGTGGGGCCTGGGTCGACGTTTTATCACTCCATTTGAGGTGAACCCCGCGGAGCTTTGCAAGGGGCCCCAGAGAGGAGCTAAGCGTCCCTGGCTTGTCCCCGGTGCGTTGAATCCGGAGAGGCCGCCCCCGCGCGCCGGTCTCAAAATGTGGCGCTTTCTCCCCCAGATGGAGCGCCAGCGGCTGGGGCGGGGGGGGGAGACGAGTTGGAGCGGAGGTTGCTGCAGTTGAAGGAGGAGGCCACAATGGCCAACGAGGCCCTGGTAGGTGTTTGTGGGGCTCGCCCTCGGTCGCGGAGCGGGACTGCCCCGGGGGACGCTCACCGGGCGTTTTGTGCCGGCCCCCAGATGCGCTCGGAGGAGACGGCCGATTTGCTGGCGGAGAAAGCCCAGATCACGGAAGAGGAGGCCAAGCTGCTAGCCCAGAAAGCGGCGGAGGCGGAGCAGGAGATGCAGCACAGCAAAGCCACGGCCATCCGGACGGAGGAGGAGAAGCGCTTGATGGAGCAGAAGGTGCTGGAGGCCGAGATGCTGGCGCTGAAGATGGCGGAGGGGGAGGAGGAGTGTGGGGTGTGAGCAGGAGTTTGGGTGAAGAAGGGGGTTGGGATCTGGGTCAGAGTCCGGGAGGGAGTTTGGGTGTAGGAGGGAGTGTGGGGTGTGAGCAGGAGTTTGGGTGAAGAAGGGGGTTGGGATCTGGGTCAGAGTCCGGGAGGGAGTTTGGGTGTAGGAGGGAGTGTGGGGTGTGAGCAGGAGTTTGGGTGAAGAAGGGGGTTGGGATCTGGGTCAGAGTCCGGGAGGGAGTTTGGGTGTAGGAGGGAGTGTGGGGTGTGAGCAGGAGTTTGGGTGAAGAAGGGGGTTGGGATCTGGGTCAGAGTCCGGGAGGGAGTTTGGGTGTAGGAGGGAGTGTGGGGTGTGAGCAGGAGTTTGGGTGAAGAAGGGGGTTGGGATCTGGGTCAGAGTCCGGGAGGGAGTTTGGGTGTAGGAGGGAGTGTGGGGTGTGAGCAGGAGTTTGGGTGAAGAAGGGGGTTGGGATCTGGGTCAGAGTCCGGGAGGGAGTTTGGGTGTAGGAGGGAGTGTGGGGTGTGAGCAGGAGTTTGGGTGAAGAAGGGGGTTGGGATCTGGGTCAGAGTCCGGGAGGGAGTTTGGGTGTAGGAGGGAGTGTGGGGTGTGAGCAGGAGTTTGGGTGAAGAAGGGGGTTGGGATCTGGGTCAGAGTCCGGGAGGGAGTTTGGGTGTAGGAGGGAGTGTGGGGTGTGAGCAGGAGTTTGGGTGAAGAAGGGGGTTGGGATCTGGGTCAGAGTCCGGGAGGGAGTTTGGGTGTAGGAGGGAGTGTGGGGTGTGAGCAGGAGTTTGGGTGAAGAAGGGGGTTGGGATCTGGGTCAGAGTCCGGGAGGGAGTTTGGGTGTAGGAGGGAGTGTGGGGTGTGAGCAGGAGTTTGGGTGAAGAAGGGGGTTGGGATCTGGGTCAGAGTCCGGGAGGGAGTTTGGGTGTAGGAGGGAGTGTGGGGTGTGAGCAGGAGTTTGGGTGAAGAAGGGGGTTGGGATCTGGGTCAGAGTCCGGGAGGGAGTTTGGGTGTAGGAGGGAGTGTGGGGTGTGAGCAGGAGTTTGGGTGAAGAAGGGGGTTGGGATCTGGGTCAGAGTCCGGGAGGGAGTTTGGGTGTAGGAGGGAGTGTGGGGTGTGAGCAGGAGTTTGGGTGAAGAAGGGGGTTGGGATCTGGGTCAGAGTCCGGGAGGGAGTTTGGGTGTAGGAGGGAGTGTGGGGTGTGAGCAGGAGTTTGGGTGAAGAAGGGGGTTGGGATCTGGGTCAGAGTCCGGGAGGGAGTTTGGGTGTAGGAGGGAGTGTGGGGTGTGAGCAGGAGTTTGGGTGAAGAAGGGGGTTGGGATCTGGGTCAGAGTCCGGGAGGGAGTTTGGGTGTAGGAGGGAGTGTGGGGTGTGAGCAGGAGTTTGGGTGAAGAAGGGGGTTGGGATCTGGGTCAGAGTCCGGGAGGGAGTTTGGGTGTAGGAGGGAGTGTGGGGTGTGAGCAGGAGTTTGGGTGAAGAAGGGGGTTGGGATCTGGGTCAGAGTCCGGGAGGGAGTTTGGGTGTAGGAGGGAGTGTGGGGTGTGAGCAGGAGTTTGGGTGAAGAAGGGGGTTGGGATCTGGGTCAGAGTCCGGGAGGGAGTTTGGGTGTAGGAGGGAGTGTGGGGTGTGAGCAGGAGTTTGGGTGAAGAAGGGGGTTGGGATCTGGGTCAGAGTCCGGGAGGGAGTTTGGGTGTAGGAGGGAGTGTGGGGTGTGAGCAGGAGTTTGGGTGAAGAAGGGGGTTGGGATCTGGGTCAGAGTCCGGGAGGGAGTTTGGGTGTAGGAGGGAGTGTGGGGTGTGAGCAGGAGTTTGGGTGAAGAAGGGGGTTGGGATCTGGGTCAGAGTCCGGGAGGGAGTTTGGGTGTAGGAGGGAGTGTGGGGTGTGAGCAGGAGTTTGGGTGAAGAAGGGGGTTGGGATCTGGGTCAGAGTCCGGGAGGGAGTTTGGGTGTAGGAGGGAGTGTGGGGTGTGAGCAGGAGTTTGGGTGAAGAAGGGGGTTGGGATCTGGGTCAGAGTCCGGGAGGGAGTTTGGGTGTAGGAGGGAGTGTGGGGTGTGAGCAGGAGTTTGGGTGAAGAAGGGGGTTGGGATCTGGGTCAGAGTCCGGGAGGGAGTTTGGGTGTAGGAGGGAGTGTGGGGTGTGAGCAGGAGTTTGGGTGAAGAAGGGGGTTGGGATCTGGGTCAGAGTCCGGGAGGGAGTTTGGGTGTAGGAGGGAGTGTGGGGTGTGAGCAGGAGTTTGGGTGAAGAAGGGGGTTGGGATCTGGGTCAGAGTCCGGGAGGGAGTTTGGGTGTAGGAGGGAGTGTGGGGTGTGAGCAGGAGTTTGGGTGAAGAAGGGGGTTGGGATCTGGGTCAGAGTCCGGGAGGGAGTTTGGGTGTAGGAGGGAGTGTGGGGTGTGAGCAGGAGTTTGGGTGAAGAAGGGGGTTGGGATCTGGGTCAGAGTCCGGGAGGGAGTTTGGGTGTAGGAGGGAGTGTGGGGTGTGAGCAGGAGTTTGGGTGAAGAAGGGGGTTGGGATCTGGGTCAGAGTCCGGGAGGGAGTTTGGGTGTAGGAGGGAGTGTGGGGTGTGAGCAGGAGTTTGGGTGAAGAAGGGGGTTGGGATCTGGGTCAGAGTCCGGGAGGGAGTTTGGGTGTAGGAGGGAGTGTGGGGTGTGAGCAGGAGTTTGGGTGAAGAAGGGGGTTGGGATCTGGGTCAGAGTCCGGGAGGGAGTTTGGGTGTAGGAGGGAGTGTGGGGTGTGAGCAGGAGTTTGGGTGAAGAAGGGGGTTGGGATCTGGGTCAGAGTCCGGGAGGGAGTTTGGGTGTAGGAGGGAGTGTGGGGTGTGAGCAGGAGTTTGGGTGAAGAAGGGGGTTGGGATCTGGGTCAGAGTCCGGGAGGGAGTTTGGGTGTAGGAGGGAGTGTGGGGTGTGAGCAGGAGTTTGGGTGAAGGGAGGGGGTTGGATCTGGGTCCGGGAGGGAGTATGGGTGTGGGAGGGGGTTGTGATCTGGGGTAGGGAGTTGCTGGGATGCCAGAGACGGGTTCTGGATGGAAGGCACCTACCTAGGTGGCTCCCGGCCGGCAGCCCTGCAGGACTCCAAGGCCAGTTCCCTGCCTGCCGCAGGCTGCTCAAAATGCCTGGCTGCTCCCTGGGGCTGTATCTTGCCCGCCCCCTGCTTCAGGGGTTAATGGGGCAGGGCTTGGAATTTGATGGGCTCCTGAAGCCAGAACGGAGACGCGCTGGGTAGGGGCCCAGGAACTTGGAGGACCCCCTGGCTCTGGAGGTGGGGCCTGGGTCGACGTTTTATCACTCCATTTGAGGTGAACCCCGCGGAGCTTTGCAAGGGGCCCCAGAGAGGAGCTAAGCGTCCCTGGCTTGTCCCCGGTGCGTTGAATCCGGAGAGGCCGCCCCCGCGCGCCGGTCTCAAAATGTGGCGCTTTCTCCCCCAGATGGAGCGCCAGCGGCTGGGGCGGGGGGGGGAGGTTTGTGGGGCTCGCCCTCGGTCGCGGAGCGGGACTGCCCCGGGGGACGCTCACCGGGCGTTTTGTGCCGGCCCCCAGATGCGCTCGGAGGAGACGGCCGATTTGCTGGCGGAGAAAGCCCAGATCACGGAAGAGGAGGCCAAGCTGCTAGCCCAGAAAGCGGCGGAGGCGGAGCAGGAGATGCAGCGCATCAAAGCCACGGCCATCCGGACGGAGGAGGAGAAGCGCTTGATGGAGCAGAAGGTGCTGGAGGCCGAGATGCTGGCGCTGAAGATGGCGGAGGAGTCGGAGAGAAGGTCAGAGTGGGGGGACCCGACACCTGCTTCTCCCCTCTCCTTCCCAGATTGCCCCGGGGATTTTGCAGTGACCCAGCCCCCACCCCCACCCCCCATCATTCCCTCCCCCCCAAAACAAAAGTTTTGCTGCTATTTTTGTTTTTCAGCCTTGGTCAGTTCCTTTTTTTTGCTCAACAAATTTTGCTGGTATTTTTGGGGGACGAAGGGGAGGGTTTCTCAAAAATCAAAAAGGGGGCGTGATGCTGAAAAGTTTGGGAACCCCTTGGGCTAGAAGGTCCCCCACCCCCACCCCCCATCATTCCCTCCCCCCCAAAACAAAAGTTTTGCTGCTATTTTTGTTTTTCAGCCTTGGTCAGTTCCTTTTTTTTGCTCAACAAATTTTGCTGGTATTTTTGGGGGACGAAGGGGAGGGTTTCTCAAAAATCAAAAAGGGGGCGTGATGCTGAAAAGTTTGGGAACCCCTTGGGCTAGAAGGTAAGAGCCACCAATTAATATACTCATGGAGGATTCCCCCATGGGTCAACACTTAGTTGCAAAAGAGAGGAGAACCCATTTCTAACAGCCCAGGCCTCAGTTCCAAATTCCCCAACCAGAAAACAATAAAACCTGATGGATTTATCTAGGCGTTACCCTACTTACACATGATGAAGAGTCTTTTTCTTGGAGAGACACATGTCTTCTGTCTCCCTCAGTATCTAGAGAGCAAACTGGTCCAGAGACAAAGGAGAGAAAAACCCCAAAACTCGGTTTGAAATCCCTATCTGCATTTCTATTGGCTGACCGCTACCAGGCTAGGTACGGGGACATAGTTAACTCCTTAGTCCCCAGCCTGCTGGCCAACCCTCATGGTTATAACCCACGCGTGATGCCCATACGACCCAGCGGGTTTCTTTCTTTTGGCCGCTGCTGGATGGGAAACTAACATCTCGGGCCTTTCTTTTTCTCATGGGTTTGAGCTAGGGATGCGATAGTGGAGTCAGTTATCCGATGAGCGAAAGCATATAGGCTCCCATCGACTGCGTGTCTCAGAAGCAGCAGGGAACTGGTTTTTCAACTGGCTCCCCTCACGGACCAGCTCCCGCCTGGCGCCCCACGTGGGACGGCAGGAAGCTCCTCGGGAGTGGGGCTGGAGCATGCTGGCTGCCATCCCTGGGGACTGTCAGCTAATCGAGTAACGGCTAAGAATTCATGAGGTCACTCGACTATTCAATTCACCGCTATTTAACATTCCTAGTGCGAGCCTGATGTTGGAAACTGCTGGTGGGGGGAGAGGAGAGAGCGTCTCTCTCCCCTCGATAGCGTTCCTTGCCCGATTTGGTGCGGCGGCATTTCTCAGACTTCCCCTCCTTCCCTGCCCCGGCCTGACGAGCACAGCCCTGACCCTTGTCGTGGCTTGTTGCAGGGCGAAGGAGGCCGATCAGCTGAAGCAGGACCTCCAAGAGGCGCGCGAGTCCGAGCGGAGAGCCAAGCAGAAGCTCCTGGAGATCACCAGCAAGTCGTCTTACACGGTAGGCGGGTTTGGTTTCCCCTCCCCCGTCTTCTCCCCGGCACTCCAGCTGCTTGCCGTCTCGTCGGGGGCATTGTGGGGCCCATGCAAACTTCATAAGAACATAACTTTGCTCAGACCCAAGGTCCATCCAGCCCAGTGTCCTGTCTGCCGACAGTGGCTAATGCCCAGAAGGAAGGAACAGAACCGGGAATCACCAAGTGATCCCCCCCCTGCCACCAATTCCCAGCCTCTGATGAACAG